AAACTCCATCAAAATCATCCACCTGAGCTACAAATCTTCTCCACCATCTCAACATCAATTCTCTTTAAGAAGTTACTATTATTGAATAAACATAATCTCACGCCTGAATATCACCCATCAATAAAAAAAAAATCTTTAAAGAATAGTAAAAAAAAAAACTCATATTTATTTGACAGATTTATTCATTTTCATAATTTATTCATTTGTTCAGGTCAAATAATTTTGTTTACATAATAAATTAACCATTTATCTATAATATACATATTTATCAATGAACAATCTCTCTTTCTCTCTTCTCCCCCTCTCTGTATCTATCTATCTATCTATCTATCTATCTATATGTATACCTATGCATAAACAAAGAGTTAGGGTACATAGAGTACATTGAAGAATTCAGGTTCTGTTTACTTGTTCATGTTTATTATTCATTATCATTATCATTATTGTTATTATCATTATTGTTTTAACTTGGTCTACTTGAAATTAAAATACAAATTATAATATTTTACATAGTTGAACTTTTAAAGAAGAATGTCTCTATTTTCTTCTTTTTCTACAGTATCATTTTATATATATATACATAAATGGAAAAATACATTTATGTAAATAATTCATAATGAATTTGTCCTCCCTCCAACCTCCGCTCCACCGAAAAAAAAAATTAAAAAATAAATAAAATATCGGTACATTAAGGACATTTAATAATTTAGAATTGGGCAGTTATTTTTATTATCAAAATAGTTAACAAAAAAAAATAATAAAGAAAAAAAAAGAAACAACAACAAAACAAAAAATTGACAAAATAAATGCTCATCGAATCATCTCCCTTTCGCGGGGGGGAGGAGGAGAGAGAAGGGGGAAAAGAAATAAATCTGATTATATAGAATGAATAGATTTGTTTCTATTTCTCTTTATCTTTATATTAGTTTTTTCTTAAATTGACAATAATCATATGATGATTGAAATGAATAATATAACGAATTAAACTATAAGTAAAAGAAAGAAATAATGATTTCAAATAAGGTAAAAATGATGGAAGTTAAAGAATAGAAATGTTACATTGATAAATAAGTTATATAATGATAGACTATTGATATGATTAGAATTAAAACAAAGTTACATATCGTCATCATCATTTAGACTACTATATATTATAGGATTCAAGTAAATGTTCTCTAATTTCAATGGTTGAGATCATGATTCAGTTGAAGCTAGACTAGCATGGAAGACCTGGAAGGACTGGACGGCTGTTTCGTTCTATTGTGGAACTCCTCAGCAGTGCACATCTACGATCCCGCCTCGCAAGATTCCAACCCAGGACCTATCAGTCTCGCGCGCGACCGTTTAACCAACTGGACCACTGAGCTAGTCAATAACCAGTGGTGTTAATTTTTAACTTCAACCAATCCACGAAATTGAGCGATATATCCACCATTGTCTTTAGTGAGTTACTATCTCACAACAGACCTGGTTGAACTTCACTGGTCACTGCTTTTTCTAACCTAACATTAAACAGTTTGTTTTTTCTTTTATTACGTGACATCAAATTTTAAATGTCCTGTATAACTAATTGTTTTTTAATACTCTTGGTATATGTTAATTGACTTGAAACACGACCTAAAGAAGTTAAGAATGAGTATCTGCAATCTCGAGTGAATCATTATTTACCGTGACAACGCTATGTCATAGTCAGAGCTATTACTGAGCTATTTTGATTATAATATCTTTGACTATATAATTGGTTGACGTTACTCCAAATATCAAAAGAAACATCAAATCTTACAACAGTACAAGTAAACTTTGATAAAAACACCCTATGTCCATGACTTCCGCTAAACCACATCTAACCACGAGGCACCAGAATATACTACACATATCATCCAGTAACTCTAGTCAGAGTAATGAGTAGAAATGATATGAAATATAGCTTGAAAAAGAGATACACCCAAACGTGACTCAGAGAAATCAAAGACGACAATTATTAGATATATGGCCATTTAAGGCCAGACATCACTAGATAGCTAACTTTCACCTGATGACGACAGTATAAGTAGAGCATATGATCACAAAATTCCAAGAGAATTTCTAAAGTTATTATCATTTAGCCTTTCTTATTTTGTTTAGAATTAAAGAATTTTATCAAAAAGGAAAGTTCGAATTTGTTTTAAATAGTATTAAAATTTATTTTATACAATAATTATTAAACACGAATGTATCATTGAAACAACTTCAACCAATTATTAGATAGTGCTTGTGACGATTGTTGAATTTCATAGTTAATAACACGTACTGACCTTAGTTAAACAACTATTGAAAACCTGAAAGTACTAGACAACAGTTTTGATCTAAGTGGGACTCCTCAGCAATGCACATCCAAGACCCTGCTCACGGGTTTCGAACCCGAGGCTTTAGGTTACGCACCGATCACTGACCTCTGTACCAGTGATCTGGGATCAAGGATTGGTTGAAGTTAGACAGTAACACTATTAGATCCCGGTTGAGTGGTCTAGAGGTCAAATGTTTGTTCAGAACAGAAGGTTGTGCGTTCGAGTCCTACGTGCGGGATCGTGGATACACGCTGTTGAGGAATGCGATACTAGAACGGAACGGCGGTTTAGTGCTTTCAAGTTTTTAATAGTGGTTAAACACTGATCGGTTCGTAATCTTAAATAAAACTCAATAATCTCTACAACCCTATACTGATAAAAAATAATTTGATTTGTATTTCTTTATGTATAAACTGTGATTAACAGTGTTTATTATTTTCATTAGACTAACGTCCAAGGATTGAATTCATGTTTCTTTTCTTAAGTTATCTATTTACTGATGATAATGAATAATGATATCAATCATGTATCTCATGGGAATACAATTCAATGTTACTGTATCTCAGTAAATTACATTATAATTCAAAGTTACTAAAAGGAAAACAAACGAATTTCTAAACACCTTAAATTTATTAGGTTAAACATTGAAATTTTATTTACATTAAGTAGCGGATGTTTATCAATACTTAAGATGATGATATTGTAATTATTATTAAATACTTATCAGGGATAGATTCATGTACTTGGCTTAAAGTTATATTTCAAGTATGAGGGTTATTGATACTAATCATTTTCTCGAACAAAAATAAGATAAGACGGTGTTCGAACCTGTGACTTAATGACTGGAAATCGAACGGGTTAATCACTGAGCTACCGCCTTACAAGTGATGTCAACTGGTAAACTATTGAAAATCAGAAAACACTGGAAAGTTGTTTAACTTCTTTCAGTAATTCACACTGATGATCTGACAAATAATAGAATACATTATATATATACTCCTTGTAGAGTTAGAATTACTATAAAAATCCTGTTATATTCTTTCGAACCTTAGCCTCTAGGTGCCAAATTGGTCCATGGATGGCAAAGTATAAGCACTATTTAAATTTTTTATTCCTTTTTGGAAACATCTTAAAAATATTCTACCGATTTCTAAGGCTATCTAAATGCTTATTAGACTATTTTCTTAGTTTAGATGATTTCTTTCTCATAGAGACTATTGTTAGCTCTATTTTTACGACGCTATGCTATCGTTAAACTGTCAATGTGAATTTGTTGTTGAACCAATTTATTCACGTTTGATTCATTTGATAATCAGTAGTATGTTGCACACGAGACAACAAATCGAAATTTGATGGTTTGTTTATTAGTTTATTATATTGGATAGATCGTTTCTTGGTTACCCTACTTTGTTTCTTTAATGGTTCTTAGCCATATCCATACCTTTAAAAGTTTTTACAAAACCTTTGTATCATTTATTTATAAAAAATTCTACTTATGCATCAGTTTTAGTATCCATAAGCTTAAACACAAGTAAAACAAGGCCTTTATATAAGATGTGGAATAAGCTTGAGTTCAATCAATTACTTAGAATCTACTAAATCACAGTAATAATAGTTTGAGTTTGTCTTCATTACCCTTTTGATTGACTTTTGTGATCACGTTTCTTCCGAAACTATAGGATGTTTTAATTAATTTGAGGTGTCTTGATTTCAGTTGAGATCTTGCTGGAAACCAGAAAGCACTAAACAAATATTTCACCATAGTATGACACTCCTTAAGGGTGTGGATCCATATCTTCTCTCTAATAATCAAACTCTGGTCATTCTTGACTTGTGGCAAGTGCCTAACACTTTAATATCAAAACATTAAGTTTGATTTATGAGCTTATTTGAATCTCATACTAAGATAAGCTGTCCAGTCTTCTTTGGTTTTCAGTTTGTTATCCTTATAATGACAATTCATAACGGAAACTATTTTCATAAAACAATAAGTTATTGTAATCACTGAGTACATTGTACTGCAAAATCTTATCTTCGACTTTTCCAATTCAACCATTTAAATTGTAACGGATCACATATTCCTATGTTCTATAGTAATACTCTTTTATTATTGCCTTTATTCAATATTACATTTTTGGTACAATATAGAATTCTCATCACAAAGTATTTCAAAAAAGTATTCCTTATTTCTTAATCCAGTCTTGTGACAAATAATGAGTGATTGCCAGTTAGAAGTTAACAGTCCAGTCAATCGACATCTGATTCATGTATATATTCTTTTTTATACATATTGCCAGGAACCACAGTGTCTCTGATTGAGCTCTTTTTTAACTTGTACAACGAAATGTCGTTAACTTTTCACAAACGTACCTGATGAATAGATTATGCAACCGATAGACATAATGATGTGTTAAAACAAACAAGAAAACAGATAACTTATTCAAATATCCAAATGGTAGGAACAAGTAGCCCAGATATTCAAACAGGCTGCCTTCAATCACATAATACTAGTTGTTCATTTATATATTTCTTTATAAAAACAAGCTAATTCAACCATAAACATTTTGTTTTAAGGATTTATAATAAGTGGGGAAAAATTCTTCAGTATTCAATTGGTTAACCAATCAAAATCAACTACATGGAGTATATATACACATACATACATACGTGTTTATAAGATAATAATTAAAAAAATACGTTTCAGTATTGTCACAATATTCAAAGATTTCTGAAGTATTCATCGTAGAAATATAGTCGTTTTTCTAAAGAAAAGTACAAGTAATTCACCATTTACCAGTAAGTTATATTAATAACATTGAATTAATACATTTTTATCAGAAGGGGATTTTGTAGATATTATAGTAATTTTATTAGGTAATATCATGAATCAGTGGTCTAGAGGTTAAGCGTTTGCTCATGAGACCGATAAGTCATGGGTTCAAATCCCTCGAGGCGGGATCGTGAATGTGTACTACTGAGTAGTCTCAAAATAGGACGAAACAGCCGTCCAGTGTTTCCAGATTTTTCATGGTGATGGTCTAGTTTCAAATGACTCATGATTTCTAGTAATGAAACAACACATTTTTGTTTAATAAGTTTTATAAAAAAAGATTATGATACTTAACTTTATACTGTAAAATTATTCTTTTTAAGGTTCCATTTTTTAATGTTTATGACAAACTTATACCCATTAGAAGATTTCTCTATGGTAAATATGAACGAAAAATCTTAAATAACCAATCGAGATGTATTTTTTATTCTGTTTTATTCTATTGTATATAACCATCTAAATATCTACTTAAACATCGTGAAGTATAAATCCCAATGATTAGACTATGTTGATAATTGTGAGATTCTTAACTGAAATTACGTTTGCTAGATTAATAGATTAATACATTAGTTTTTGGTTGAGATCATGAATTAATTGATGTTAGACTACCGTTGGAAACCTGGAAGCACTGGACGGTTTCCAACGGTGGTCTAACATCAATTAATTCATGATCTCAACCAAAAACTTAACAATCTCCACAATCCCCATACTGATAATACATTAGTTTCCCTGAAAAAACACTAAAGTATTCTTGCTTAAGAAATAGTTCAATTTGTAATTTTGATTAAATTTCTATATTAAAAACACGAAGTTCAATGAAGGGATCTCTTTTCAACGAATTTTGTTAAAGTACTAATTCCATGAGGAAATATGAACAAGGAATAACCAAGATGACGAAATAGAAAGATTATAATACTAGATTACGTAATACAAATAATAACAATAGATTTAGTGAATATAATATGATGATTAAAATGAATAGAAGTAGTTTTGACAGCAAATCTAGTTGTTCCATCCCAGAGAAAAACCTCTTTATAAGTCTGGAATTTAAACGGGATTGAACATCTAACGCGATCAAAGGAACACTTAATGCGACAAAACTGTGAATAACCTTCACTAGTAGGAACTTATTTTCTGTATCCATAAAAGATAAGCTTCCGCATCTGGTTGCCTCCATGTGCATCTGCCAGTCCACCTGCTCTTGTGGAGCAAGTTACATTGGCCATAGCCAGCGCTCGCTTCCAACTCGGATACAAGAATATGTTCTAGTTTAGTTCTACAAAGATGAAAGTTAGAAATTCTATACTTGAACAGCTAATCGACTGTAATCATTCTACGGATCCACGGTTTGATTTTAAGGTTGTTTATATGATTCGTTTAAATCTACCTAGATTTCTTGGTAGCCAACTCTTAAAAAAAGCTGAACCTCTTATCATCCATAAGCTCAAACCAGAACTATGCGTACAAAAGAAGTACGTCTTATCGTTATCGTTACCTTGGCCTTAACTATTATCATTATTATTATTGCATTCCCCTTTACTTATGTTTTATACTCTCATTATTTTATTCATGAATGCTTATCATACCACCTTATTTATTTTTACATCTCTATGACCTTTAATGACCTTTAATTATTACAACTAAAACATTTTAGTCATGAATTAAGTTTTGACAGCCAATCTCGCTTTACGCGCCTGGGGGTTAGCCACTGTGAGGTTATGTAGAGGGTGCATGGTCACCCGTGTTAGCCTTGCGGGAAGGTCTGAGACGTGCGGCATCAATCTCTCGTGATGAGAGGCCCCACTAACAGGGGTGCAGGCCAACAGACAAGGCTCTGACGGTCACACCACACACCCGGCGATCGGGAGTCATTCTCGTGAGGGGGAGGTGTGTCGTCGGAATGAGATGGTCTGTGCTGAGCGCGTAAAGCGAGATTGGCTGTCAAAACTTAATTTTAGTCATATCATTACATTCACTAGATCTATTGTTATTATTCTTATTATGTAATCCAGTATTATAATCTTTCTATTACGTCATCTTGGTTATTCTTTGTTCATATTTCCTCATGGAATTAGTACTTTAACAAAATTCGTTGAAAAGAGATCCCTTCACTGAACTTGCTGTTTTGAATTTTTAATGTTTAACTGAGACTTATCTGTAAATTTTTATTTCATTAAAATATCAGGATTTTTTACAAATAAATCAATTTAATAATTGAATTCATCAGTCGATTAAAATTAGACTATTATGGAAAACTTGAATGTACTGGACGAATGTTTCGTCTTAGTGTAAGACTCTTCAACAATGTACATCCACGATCCTGCCAATAGATTCCTTTGAATGAAAATATGAAAAATTTGTAGGCTGATTACAAGAACGATTCATTTGTGTTTTACTCAGAATTGCTTGTCATACACTTGAAGCATAATTTAATGTTAGATGGTTATATATAATAGGCAGGTAACTTTGAACCTTAGTTTCGATATAGTTGATTCTTGTTAGCAAAGATTTTCTGTAATCTTGATGGAACTGATAATTCTAGTGTTACAATGTATCATGGAGTGATTACTATTGAACCATTCAGTTCCCGTAAAATCTGTAATTCGACTATAGAATGATTATTTTACGTGTGTTAAAACATTTACAGATTACCGAATGGTTTAAAGCTAATTCGTTTATAACTTAAGCGTATATCAATATTTCATAAGGCGTAGAAAAAAGAAAATAATAGTACGAAAAAATTATATCACTATGTATATCTAAAAGAGACTAATTCAATGACAACTCATTGAACTAACATTAGACATTGTTTATTTTATCAATATTTATCAATTGTGTAGAAAGAAAGATCTAAAATAAGAATGAAACTATCACATGATTTCACTTGGTGCTGTTTACTTGTATCTTCCCATTGTAGTTTAGAACTGCAATGGATTAGTCTCTTATTGGCGTATATATGCATAGTGTGTGTATGTCTTGATATTGCCTTAATTCACAAGCCGTATAAGCAAAGATGAATAGTATCTAGTAGTGGAATCCAGTTTGACGCGTGTTTCGTCCTATTCGGAACTTGTCAGAAGGAAATATGCATTGCGGATTCCACTTCTAGTTAGTTGAATGTATATTACAATAATCAAACAAAAATACAACTCTTTTCTCTCTGTTTACTTTAAACTAATCACTATAACTTCATTGAATCATATGTAATTCATTATTCTAATTATGGTTGAATAAATAAAAGTATCATAATTCAATGATTTATATCAGTCATTATACTGTGTATATATTCAATGTTAATATTACTTACTTACTTGCTTACTTACTCCTGTTACTCTTTCTAGTTGTTATTCATCATATTTATATCTGAATAAGTAACATTGATGAGCTTTATTATTGGGGGGAAAAAAAAAGAAACATTCTTGAATATGTTATATTATTGATCAAATGTAATATGTTTGTTCATAGGGAAATCATGCATGTTAATTAGTGAATAAATAAATATATATAGATACTATGCAAATAACTGACAGCTATTTGGAAGTAAACAATGTTTTTATTTTATGATGTAATGAAATACACATATGTAGATAATGATCTTGATGAAAGGTTAGTAAAGATTTGTAAATTAATGAGATGATTTTGATCTGATCAGATCAGTTCTATTGTCTTTATGGATCAGACTGTCTAAAACAAAACAAAAAAAAACAAAAAAACAACAAATTGCACAAACTAGTAACTATTTGGACTTAGTAGCTAAGTAGATAACGTGTTGATGTTTAAAGTGAAAAGTTATGGGCTTGAGTTGTGGAGTGAACATCAACTCTAGGATATAGGTACATCCAATTGACGAATTCCAAATAGGATGAAATATGTGTCCTGGATTCCACTGCTAATCACCATCCATCTTTGTTTACAAATTAAGATTGTTCATAATTATCAAAATTAGGAATTCTGGAGATTGTAATAATTTAATATTTGAATTCACGAGTCGATTTAAGCTAGTCCTTTGGTAACATTTACACATATAACTAAGAGACTTCGAGTAGCAGTAACATACTATACCATATAAAGTGAAATGGTGAATAGTCGTTCTTCAAGAAAAGTGAAAGTAAAACAGTTAGATATTTCATATTTTCCATTGGGATTTGACATTAATTCCTTAAAGTTCGACTTTACTATAGGAAAATCGGAATAGCATATAAAAGCGAACAATTTTGTATCCAACTAGGTCCTTATAAGAAATTAATCGAAAACATTATTCACTTATATCTATTGCTCTAATTCACAAAAATGAAAATTCTCAGTATAAGGAAATCGATTTTGAAAATGATGTTTTTACGATAGTAGGGTGAGATTATAATTTATGGACGACCTTTGAGCGAAACTAGTCTGACGGTGAGAGTGTCTACTTACTTACTAGGATCAAATGAGGGTTATAAAGCAGTCTAAAGAATAAGGATTATGATTTACAGTCGATGGTTAAGGTTAGGAATTAGATTTCGGGTTTTCATCACGAACTGACATAAGCTATTATGCCAAAACTCTATTTATCCAAATGGATGAGTGAATTTCACGCAAAAATCTGAGACCTGTTATCTTATACGTGATTGGTTCAACCATGAATTATAGCCTCGCCGATATTAGATATTTTCTATATATATCCTCAGAGATTCTTACACGATAAACCTAACATCCTGAAGTTTGCTTATCTCAAACAGTCATTAGATAAAATCGTTTGGTGTAGATTTTCAACATAAGCTTAACAGAGATTATAATAAAATCACGAAACTAGTTTATAAGAATAACGAGAAATTTATTGGCACCTGGGCTTTGTAAATACTTTAATCCAATTAATGATAACTATTTTAAGAATGGTTTGAATTATTTTTTCCAGTTAGCGTTTGTTTAGCGAGTTATTTTTCTACAGAATGGAGTCGCTAACCCCATGCTTAACCCTCCTCCTTTT